TTAGTCAAAACAGTGTGTGTATCGACTATGTTACGACACAAAATCATTAATGGACAATAATTACTTTAATGCTATAAAAATTGTCGAAACTGTATTTATCAAGTTTTACAAAAATAAATCTTCCAAAGTACGGCAGATATCCATTTACTGATTCTTGCATAATATAGTATAAGTCGCGGCCAATATCGCCATGCTAGTATGGACACTTAATGACTTTTTGTAGTTAATGACTTCTTGCAATCAGCCGACGGTCTAGCCTTTAATAAATTATTTGGTAGACTAAGACTTAATGTACTCAAAAAGTAATTAAATAATTTAGTATCTTAAACGGAAATCTTGAGACGCTAACTAAAAAAACTAATGAACATCGAAAACAAATTCTTCTAAGAACGTTTGAAGTCTTCTTATTAACAAAATGAGATTCATAATAAAAGTTTTCTGAACTAACTTCAGCCTGTGATTGGAATATGAACATTCAGAACTGGCATTCCATTGAGAGCATTCCGTAATTGTGAACTTCGTGGAGTATTCCAGCTTATGACACTTGCTCGTCGAAATTCCTGGTATACGGCAAAGAGGATTTATCTAGTGTAAGCTGTGGTATTCCTGCAATGAGTGCGATGCCATTCGTGGCAGCCCTTTGATCGTCGGTTTGCTATGTTCTCGCACGAGCTAGCCCAGATCAAGGAGTAGGTTAGTTTTATGCTAACGAGATTAGTTCCACATGTCTGTACGTGAATAGGCTAGATTGGTGCATGTCAGAGAGATGGGTGACCAAAGGTAGCAATTTCACGGAGCAGGCAGCTCCGATGAAATCGGCTGCTGTGTGTTGCATTGGCTCTGTATGTACAGGCTAGGTCTATTAGATACGCACGTAGATATTTTGGAGAACTGTGCCACGCATTATTTGGTTGGATGTTACGGGTAAGATTCGTTTGACGTATATCAAAAGGTTCATTGAACATGTAAAAGTTTTCAATTGCGACTTCTAGTTCAGTTGTTTATAAGAATTCGAGCGCTGACTTCTGGTCAAAGGCTCCAACGTCATTTATTTTAAATTTACGGTCCATTAGCAATGACATTCAAGATTACATTGTTGGTTGCATAATGCAAGTTCACTTTAACAATTTGACAGACAGAATGTATCTTTTAAAGGATTCCTTTCATAAGAAAAATAATACATGGTCTAAAAATCTCATTAAATTCAAACGACCTATGTCTGTGTATTTTTAGCCGTTCAAAGTCGTTTGAGTTAAATGTTAAGTCTTACGGAGAATTTTAAAGTAAAAACAACTCTTAGACTAATTAGTGATTCTAACTTGATTATTCCCGGGGCTCAAAACACACGAGTCGTTTTTGAACCTTTTAAAATTTAACACGATTTATTTGTGTTAAATAGGAGAGATGAGAAGAAAATTATTCTAAATAGGAAAACATGATATTATGGTTTTATTTAAAAAAATACACGACTAGAAAAAGTAGTTTCGTTTGTGCTGAACTGCTCTGATAAAGGATAAAAATCAATGAGCATAATCAGAATTTTATGTCTTTATGGAATTCAAGTAGTATCTGAGCCTGTTTTCCTTTTGCTTATGTATAAAAGTTGGTGATTCAGGGTCCTCCGGGATGAATAATTTGTAGGGAAACTCTAACTATTGAGTTTGAAGTTAGTCAACTGCAGTTGTTTGTCGCGTAACACTTTATGATAGGTAGGTACGTACGTCATGTATAAACATTTATGAAGATGGCATGATGATGGTAAAGTAGTTATGTCGACAAATTGTACGATAAAGTTTTCATATTAAATAAGACAATTTAAAAAAAATAAAAAAAAAAACGGAAAGACCTTTCGACGTATACTATATTAATACTATAATACAGCAGCATAATAAATAAAGCTGCTTTAGTGACATAAACGTGCTCAACGGGCACTTTCAGTGTCATATTGCGTAAAATGGATGGTTTTGGTTTGTAGAGGGCGCTCTAAATACAGGGTATTAATGGTATTAATCTGATGCCAAAATAATTGGCACTTAGTATAAAGGTTGGAGGTGGGTTACAGTTTAGTGTTACGATTCGGGTCCAAACTGCAAAGACAGCGTGCGGGCTCTCCATGGACAGAAAATCGATTGTTGACCTCTTTACAGGCCCGACCCACACCCGAACAACCGAGCCCTTTTAGTCTGGCGATGGTCCATTGTAGGAGCTCAGGCGTTTCTATTTGGTTATCATTTAATGTAGGTACTACTTACTGTACAGAAACATTTAATAGAATAATTTATTTGTGCCAAAATTTTCACATTAAGCGAACTTAATTCCATTATTAAAAATATATATCTGACTTTACAGGTAAGACTGCGGACTTGGATGTTCTACTTGAGGTAGGATCGCTGGTATTGGAGGCGCTGAGGTAAAGAAAAGGCTTTGTCCGGAATCCCACAGTTTCCTCACATTTATGACGAGTGACGGAACACCGGGGTCTTTTTAGTGGGTATGCCTCGTCCTTTTGACTTGGTGAGCCCCACATAACCCTGGAGGGACAGGGTAAGAATGCCATTCAACTCATTTTCCCCATAAAAAAAGGATTGCTGGAAATGATATACTCGCATACAAAAGAAATCTATAGTTCTATACTAATACTAATAAAGTTGAAGAGTTTGTTTGTTTGTATCACCATTTATAGCCAATAGTGGCGGAGCAGTAACGAGAAATATTGCAAAAACGGGACCTATTCTTCAATCTACTTTCACGCTTTCAAAGTCGTGGGCACAGCTAGTAATTTCGTAAGATGCAAGGCTTATTGTTATGACCAACAACACACCAAACATAATTACCCAAGAAAACATGAAGGCAAAAAATACTTTTTAAAAAGGATTAACATCATTGCACCGGCGGTGTTAATAATAAACGCTCACTGTGCGTGAATAACAACGGTGTAAACACGATGCAATAACAGTCAATTTACAAGCGTGTTGAAAATTAATCAAAATAAAAAAAAAACTCTGTTAAAGAATGAACATTTTATATAACAGATGAATAACCAATTTGTATAGGTTTACGCTACTTTAGTAATAGATTCGAATATACATATTTTAAACTTTACTGTCACAGTTCGCTCGAGTGTCTAGTTAGTGAACAATGGTTCCCACGTCGAGTGTAATAAAAATACGGAGGGTAGACCGAGTCCTCTACGTGTTTACCTACCCGCATCGACTTTGTTTCGTGTTTCGTGTTAGATGTGTCCTTTTTCAGTAAATTCTTGTAGGGTTAAAAATATTTCACCGTGCGCCTGTGACTTATGATTTCCGCTGTCCGAAAGGTGTCCTCGGATATTTGAGACCGAACCTACGAATTTAACAGTAATGAATAGTCACGAAAGTAGATATCTATACTACTATACGAATATTATAAGGCTGAAGAGTTTGGTTGAACACGCTAATCTCAAGAACTGTACGTTTGAATTTTTTTTTCTTTTGGATAGCCCATTTATCGAGAAAAGCTACAGGCAATATATTATTATGCTAATCTATATATATAAAAGAAAGTCGTGTTAGTTACTTCGCTTATAACTCAAGAACGGCTGAACCGATTTAGCTGAAAATTGTCCGGGAGGTAGTTTAGAGCCAGGAGAAGGACATAGGATACTTTTTATCCCGTTCGAAATTAAAAAAAAGTCTGCTTATTTATTGCCATTAAGGCGGAACAAAGTTCGCCGGGTCAGCTAGTAATATACTAATACCTACTCGTAGGAGCGGAGCATCAATGAAAAATGTTGCTAAAACGGGAAAATTATTCAAATTATTTTCTCGTCTACGAAGTCGCGGGGACAGCTACATATGAAATACGCGTTATTTCGTGAGGGTGAATAATTAGTGTATTAAAATATTAGAATTTACTCACTGTTTAAATTAAATGTACATACATATGAAAACCACAAGCAGGAATGGGAATCCCACTATCGTATTTCGATCATTTAGGTAATATGCTTTGCAATACTAGGCAAATTAAACCAACCTGGATTTTGCTGTTTGAATTTAGGAGAACTAAAATCATTGTCCATTACTCCAAGTCATTTTGCCTAATTCTATTGATTAATGAGATAATACCTACGTATTACGTGTTATCAGTAGATAGTATTGATCTGAAATCATCTACCGTCGCTTGCATTTAGAACTGGATTGAACATAAAATTGAAACTTGTTAGGATGCATCTCAATAAGTTATGTACGGTATCCTCACATTGTAGAATATTGTTAAATTAAAAAGACTCGAGCTTTATATCCGGGCCTGATCTCATCTCTAATGCAGTCTACACACTAAACCCGCCAACCCGCCGACATAAGTCGTCGACTTTTGACATGTTTCTTCAGGCTCCCCTCTATCTGGCAGAATCTCGTTACGCAGAAACTCATTTGGCATAACTCACTTGGCATAATGTTCTTTAACCGAATACTTATAAGGCATAAACATTGTTAAATATAATCATCGTTTGGTAGAATGTTTATATACCTACGCGAATTTTCAATGGCATACCGAAAAAAGGTAGAACCGTTTCTTCATCAGCGATATGTTTCATCATCGCCGAGCTGTCGGCGAGCTTGTGGGGAGAGTCTATTGTAATAACACACGCAATGCAGAAAAATTAGGATGCCTTTGTATCCCTTTCAGCCCAGCCGAACACAATTGTGACGTTAGTTTAAAGATAAATTTTGGCGGTATTTTAAGACGTAAGTGATCGGGCCCACAGCCGCACAATTGTGACGGATATGCTCTATCTATTGGTGTGAGTAAGATAGCCAGCAAGCGCCGCGAAATTCAAATTAAAACGGGTTCATTTTGCCGTTGTTGTTGTTTAGGGTATCGCTGCGTGTGAGTGATTCTAATTACATTAAAATTATGCCATTGCTATGTTATTATTGTGATTTATAGTTAATTATGACNAGGTACAATACAGCGTTGTAGCTGGCGCCGTGCGAGTGGGTGTCCGAAATTCGGCCCCCATGAGCGAGGACCAGATGCGACTGCTGCATGACGCCCTTCTCGAGTCCATCGCCAAGATGGCCGGGAAGAAGGGAGTCCCGCGACCAAGATTTGCTGGTTTCTCCTACAAGACGGGGTGGGTCCTGGTTAACTGTGAGAACCAGGAAAGCCATGACTGGCTTGTAGGAGAGATCAGGCAAATCAAACCGTGGCCTGAGGCGGAACTCTCGACCATACCCGAGAGCGAACTGCCTAAGCCACAGGTGGGGACCACTTTCATACCCATCAGCGAGGCGGCAACGGTCGAAAAGGCTTTGCCGCTGCTGGAGGCGCAGAATGATGGTCTCAACCCGGGGCTATGGCGAGTTCTCCATAAGCGGGCCGAGGCGGGAGGGACTGTGGTGACCTTCTCGTTGGACGATCCGTCGGCGGAGACTCTACGTGCAAATAACGGCATAGCTGGCCTTGGCTTTAACCCAGATGAACCTACCGACCCATACATGGGTTATGAGAAATAAAAAAATCTACTGTCGTTATTTTATTTGTCGGCGAAAATGATTTGAAGATGATTTTGTTACGAGGCAAAGCGCGCATTCCGCCCGCCAGGTGGCGCCGCGCGCTAACGGAACGTCGAGTTGGGCCGACACCGAGCGGGCAGACGAGTATAGAGAAAAGTAATACATAGGAAATAGAGAACCCTCTCTGTCAAATTTTTGAGCCTACTAATTGACAGCCTGGTGTTAAATTCCCTGTACTTAACCTACGTACGTAACGCTCACATACATACATAGTACACGCACACATACATACATAAAGTCCACGCACACATACACACAGTTCACGCACACATAGGCCCTCATAACCTTCAAAGAATTATTGTTTTTATGATGTACAATGTAGAATTTTTTCAAATCCATTATTTTGAAAATATTTATCTTTATGGTGTACGTATTGTATTATTTTCAAAACAATGGATTTGGAAAAATTCTACATTGCACATGGAAATGCAAATATTGCTTGCTTATGAACCAAATAGTATGAATTCATGGATAAAATAAATATTTTTTTCCGATGCGCAATAAAATTCGCCCGCTGTGTCCTGAAGAAAAAATTTTTTTCACCTACTTTTTGCGAAAAAAGTATTATACAATGTTATATTTTTATAATTCTGATAAATGTAGCTTTCAGGTCATATTTTTTTTATTAGATTATCTCCAGTGGTTTAAAAGTAAACGACGTTTATTTAAAAAAATACTTTTTGGTTTTTGTGAATTTTACTCAATATTTCTATTTTCTTGTATGAAAAGGCAAAAAGTTTGTTCTAGAAATGAATTCGCCATCCTTTATTTATCCGAAAATGATACCACACTTGCCCTAATACCCATAGTTTTGAAGATATGGGCCTTAAAGTGAAGCGCGGCGGAAGGAAACTTGCCCCCCCTCCCCCTGCTACCACAGGGGGGGCTCCCGATGTCTACCGACGGAAATCCACTCAGGAGCACCCAAAGAACCACTGTTGCAAAAATGAGCCTTCTATACCAAAGTGGAGGGGTCTCCATACAAATCATTGCACTAAATTCCCTACTATTCGAGGTAAAGTTGTTTTTGTGCCGATTCTTGTAAGATTTAGGCGATCTTATTTGTTAGGTTTAGTTTAATTTATTAGAATAAAATTATTTTGTCTTTCAAATACTTCTAAATTTATTTATTTTTAACGATAAACTGTAAGCCATTTAACGATAAACTATACCAGTATTTGGAGATACCTATTGATAAATAAAAGATTTTGAATAACAGACATCGATATTTTTTAAATCTGTTTATACATTACTAGCTTTCCGCCCGCGACTTCGCCTGCATGGAATTTTGTCTGTCACAGAAAAACTTTATCGCGCGCGTCCCTGTTTCAGAAACCGGGATAAAAACTGTCCTATGTCCTTTCCCGGGACTCAAACTCAATCAATATCGGTTCAGTGGTTTAGGCGTAAAAGCAAGACAGACAGACAGACAGAGTTACTTTCGCATTTTTTATATTAGTAGATAAGTAAAATAAAACATAAACAAGATTTAAACGTAGAATTTCAGTTTCTCACTTGCCGACTGCCGCGCTTCCCGCGGGAAATCGCCGAGAAATAGGCAGTGTAGGATTCTATCAGTGGCACAATTTCCCGAATCGAGTAAGTGCTTCCGATATTACTTCTACAAGCATAAACACGGGGACGTGACGGGAACACGATATGCAAATGCAATACAGAAAAAGCGATACTGCAGTAAACGTAGACTCTAGCGCATCATAGAAGCACCAAATTGTCTCAACTGATTCTCAACTTTATACACTCAGCGGCACGGAATTTGGCCCAAGCCTAAACAACCAGATATGAGGCCAAATAGGTGTTGTATACCTAAGTTTCGTGTGACATGTTAACAGAACATTTGTTTTTGTTAATTTAAGAGCCTAGATTTATAAAAAAAATGCACCGTTTAACTTTTTTGACTCAAGAAACGCATTTCGTTGTTGGAGCGTAAAGAGTACGGGTAAGTTTAAATTCGATATTAAATGTTGTAAGGGTTTGGCGTTTTGTTTTTTGTTTTTAAATTAATCTTAGGGTTATTCTCGTTTCCATAATTTGAGAATAATGCCCATTACTCCAGCTCAAGTTGCTCAAATAGTGTTGCTTAGAAGTCAAGGGCGTATGCAGCGGGAGATGGCTGAAACTTTCAATTTATGGCGTACAAACTTAAGATACACGTTAAAAAGGCATGACCACACCGCCTTTTACACAAGAAGACCAAGAAGTGGGGAATTAAGGTGTAAATCAGCACGCGACGACCCGATTATCGTGCTTGCAATATCAAGAAATCGGGTTCTCACTACGTTTGAGATACGCCAGCGTTTACAAACAGCAAGTCCAGTGAATATCAGTGAGCACACAATAAGAAGAAGGATGGAGGATCATAACCTGCATACTCGAAGACCAGCTCGAGGACCAGAACTTCTCCGATAACTTCGCGAAGTGCGACTTACGTTTTCTAGAGAACAGTATTACCATGTCTGAGTCGCCTGAGAACACTATCCCTGGTTCTTTTCCGACATCAGAAGTGGGATGCGGGACCCGAGAGTGTAACGATGGTGGGTCAGCAAGTAAATCAAGCGTGACCACGGAACATTATGCGGTGGGTAGTGCGGGTTGTTCGAAAAACTCTGACAATGCAACTTGTTCGGAAAGTGTGAGTGATACGGGCGATGCTGCTGCGTTGTTGAAGATGCTACGTGTGTTGGCGGGTGGGCTCCAGCCACCCGCGCCGGTGGCGCTCATCAAATTTGACCCCGACGATCCGGACGCAGACATCGAAGGCTGGTGTAAGATTAACGAGGTGATAGTAAGGCACAAGGATTTGAAAGGTACCGATTTATTATTACCCTTAATGCAAGCGCTTCGTGGTCGTGCTGCTACGTGCCTAACCAAGATCCAGCCGGATTGTATTACGTGGGAAAATGTGAAAAATATTCTGATTGCGAAGTTTGCTAAACCGTTGTTAATGCAAGATTATTTTGATCGAATTATAAAGTTCAAAATTAATGATAAAGAAACCGCTGCAGACGGCGCATTGCGTCTTTGGAATTTGATTGAGACAATACCTAAAGTTGAATTAAATGAGGAAGTTATAACTGGATTTGCTGTGTCAATATTGGCGAACTGTGATCATAATTTAAGGCGCGAATTGAATGCCAGTAGCATATCTTCAAAATCACAGCTGTGTCGTATATTACGTGGGGTATCTATGAAGCGACATATCGACGATGCCACTACCCACATTGACAATAAACGCCCACGATATAATAATCAGCGACCGATGTCAACATTTCCTGGTTCTTGCCATCGTTGTGGGGAAATAGGCCACCGAATTTTTAACTGTCCTCAAATTCGTGGTGAAAGTTCACAGATTCACAAGCCGTCACCAGGGCCCCAACGCTATGACGAAAAACGAGCCGTGACGTGTTATGCCTGCGGTAAGCCGGGACACGTCGCCAGCGTCTGCCCAGCCGCCGCCGCTCTTCGCGAAGCTTCTCAAGCCTCGAAGAAGGAGGTAAAACTGTGCAGCAAACGGGCGGTTACTGGTGAGCTACATGTTGCAGGTATGAGTTGTCGTTTTCTTTTTGACTCTGGTTCAGAATGTTCCTTAATTAAAAGTAGTCTTGCTGATCAAATAAATAGAGAGTATTTTTACGACACTGTGACTCTAGTGGGGATAGGTAATTCGGACGTCAAGTGTACAAAGCAAATGAGATGCACAATTAATGTCCAAAATTTGACATTGAAAATTTTATTTTACGTCGTTGATGATTCTTATTTGATTGAGCCCATTTTACTAGGTCGTGATCTTATAGACATGGGGGTACACGTTGAAATCGATAGCAAGGGTGTCAATTTATTTAAATCGAAATTTTCTCAATTAATATCCTGTAACAAAACGGCAACCCCATTTGAAGCACAAGTTGATACTGATTTAGAAGGCGAATCTAAAAATTCTTTGCTGAACATACTTACCTCCTATTCTGATAATTTTGTTGAGGGTGTTCCTAAAAGACGCGTAACTACAGGAGAAATGAAAATTGACCTTATTGACCCAAATAAAACAGTACAAAGACGTCCGTATCGGCTATCGGCAAGTGAGCGGCAAGTAGTAAAGGATAAAGTGTCTGAGTTACTTGAGGCTAACATTATTAGAGAAAGCAATTCTCCTTTCGCCAGTCCCATTTTGCTCGTCAAGAAAAAAGATGGGACTGACCGTATGGTAGTAGATTACAGGGAGTTAAACTCAAATACGCGAACCGATAATTATCCTCTGCCGCGAATTAGCGATCACATTGATAAGCTGCATGGTGCAAATTTCTTTACGTCTCTTGACATGACTTCAGGTTTCCATTGTATTAGCGTAGAAGCAAGTTCTGTAGAGCGAACTGCCTTCGTTACGCCCGATGGGCAGTTCGAATATACCGCCATGCCCTTTGGACTTAAAAATGCACCGTCCGTGTTCCAAAGATGCATTCAGAATGCTCTAAAAGACTGTGACTTTGCTCTTGTCTACATAGATGACGTTTTAATACCGTCAGAAAATGTAGAGCAAGGATTGGAAAGGTTAGAGTTAGTTCTCGCGGCGCTTACAAAAGCTGGGTTCTCGTTGAATATGAAAAAGTGTAAATTCCTTAAGCGGGAAATTTCTTATTTGGGTTATGAGATAAAATCGGGGGAAATCAGGCCAAATCCTATCAAAATTAAAGCACTAGTAGAGATTTCAGCGCCACGTACTGCTACTCAAGTTCGCCAGTTTATTGGGCTAGCCTCGTATTTCAGGCAGTTCATACCAGGGTTTTCCGTATTAATGGCACCTTTGTACCCTCTCACGCAGCACAACGGTGCTATTAATTGGACGGAACAGCATAACAAAATCCATAAGCGCGTTATAGAGATTTTAACCTCGGAGCCAGTATTGACAATTTTCGATCCGGATAAAG